TACATGTCGATTCCAAATATGACATCAAATTTGGAATTTTTAATGATGTAAATCAAGATTATTTCTACTCGCATTTAGGATATTGTCCAAAGGTATATCTGCAGATTTGGGGCTTCTTCGTTGGTAATGTAGTAAATGTGGTACGACTCAACATGTATAAAAGTCAAGGGGTCTTGATTGTGCTTTCATATCGCAACCTCCCTCTTCAAAAAGGAGATAATTCAGTGACCAACATTTTTATTAAAGTTAAAATTAGAGCACTAATTTTGTGAATTTTCATAAATTGCAGAAAATAATTGACCCTCAACAAATAATCTAGGTACATTTATTTTATGTACAACTTGTACTCTCTACATGCAAAACTGAAACATGTAGACCATGTATGAAATGAGTAAATAAATACCTAAAAATAACACGAAACTCCAGTAAGAAGCCATTCAAATTCTTGAACATGTAGATATTCTTTAAACAAAGTATTACGCCATATATACGTCGATTATTTTCGCTTGTCCAGTGATATTAAAATTATAGTAAAGGGAGTTCTGTCAATCAACTTGGGGTTTAGGGATCACATGATATACTACAATGTGGTATGAATATTATAAGATAATGATTTTTCTTCACAACAAATATTCTTTACCCTCTTCAGGGGTATCATTAGCAACAGGCGATTTTCACCAGTTGTTTTCACAAATACAAATGGGTAAATAGTAAGAGATATTGACTAATTTAGCTGGACTGGAGTGATTATACATGCGTTGATACCTTTGATTTAATTGAAGACGCTTCATTATTGGAGTGCTATCATGTCACTGAAATTGCACACTTTTCTCGCAATTACACAATTATCATCGTTTTTCATGACGTTCTATGAATTATCAATTCAATTGCTAATAGTAACACTTGTTTGTTGCTTGTTTAAGATGAAACAATCGTTCTTGGAATTATATATATTATTAGCCATGTATCATCTGTATTAATTAAAAAACAGTAAACAACTTTCTGTCCTTGGGAAATGTATGAATGATAGAGATGTATCATCAGCTATATATACCCAGATTGCTTGTGTCATATTAGCTTACTGACATATACGTAATAGTTAAATCCATATACATAGCACCTCTTTGAATTCAGAGCAGAGTCTTACGAGAAAACAACTTAGAATTGACATTTATACACAATTCAGGAGAAATCATTATTTTCTCATGAGATTGCTGAAAGTACTTAGTCCTGTATTAATAAAGGTTTTGATATGATGAGAAACTCACCTGAATTTTGCATAGGTGCAATCAAAGCTTGTCTCTCTCTTATGATTTTAGGATGGGAGTTCATAGTAGGATTTACGAAAAGGTATGCACATATATGACACATCTTTCAGCCTGGAGTGAACATACAGCAAATTATCTAGATTTAATCATCGATGGAAGAATCAGTATATACAGGCTCGCATCTTACTTTAGAAAATTCCCGGAAATTGTTAATGGAAATGATTTAGTAAATCAGAAAATTAATGTATAGTTTTGATAATGTCAATTACTAATACATGTATATTGAATTTTCGTCATGTAATATATTTATTTTACCTATCCTTGGTACATCGTAATTTGACCTACTTTTGCAATTTGACCTAGTTCCTTTAAATGACCATAATATTATGATGAAAGTCTGAGAAAATGATATTCAAACAATCTAAATCAAACTGAGATATATATTAATTTTAAAGAAGTTTATTTAAAAGAAAAAAATGACTAAAAATCATTGAAAAATCATTGTTACTCAATACTTATCTCAATAATTATCTTTTATAGGAGTTTGATTGTGAAATGCAACTGTGAAATAGATAGTCATAAATACGAGGTGCAATCAAGATTTTCTGATAAAACACTTTAATTTCTTTGCTTTTGGGAGTTCGGTGCTGATTAATAAAAGATCACATGGTCCTGTCCAGTACAATCTCAAAATGCAGGTCTGATATAAGCTATATTAAATATTAAGAGTATAGCCAGAGTCCAGCTCTTATTAAGAGTAAGATGCATGTTCAAGGATGCCTGGGACAAAGTAGTCCTCAATTACTTGGTTGTCAATAACAGTCATGTACTTTTCATATACAATTTGTTTCCAAGGATTTCATACCAAATGAAGCAATTTTGTTGTTGTAATAAGGGGTCGACAAATCAATGATGACAATCATGATACAGGCCCGTAGCCAGGATTTACTAAGGGGGGGGGGGGGGGTCAGTTTTCAAAAATTTGTAGGGGGGTTCACATTTGACAATTTTGGCCCAAATATAGCTAAAATCACTTGAGAAGTGCTCAAAATGGTGAAAAACTGCATGATTTTGAATTTATTTTTGGCCAGGGGGGTTTGCCCTAACCCTGCAACTCCCCCCCCTGGCTATGGGCCTGATGATATGACTTGTTTGCATGCTTTGAGAAGTGAAGCTCTGTTAAGATTTATATGGGTCACTTGTATTATATAGTGCTAAGTATCATAATCAGACATTAAATATGGATCATATTCTGGTGTATATGTCTACCCATCATTGAAAATTTGAGATACTGTATAAATAAAATATCTTTGTGTTTGTGTTGTGATGTCACCAACAGAAGTGGTGACATTTTTCCTATAGTCTCCAATATTTTTGTGTTGACAGTTTGTGATTGGTTTTTGATGGTTGGTGTTCAGTGTCTGTAACAAATGGCAGGTAGTGACATTCTGCATGTTAACTTGTATGCATTGTTTTCAGAGCGTATTTATACCACCATCTATATTAAATAGCAATTCTTAGATTTATAAATGAAACATATCTATTCTCAGAACGACAGAGTGAAAACATTGCAAAAATAATTTTCTAAATATTGGTATAATCTATTCAAAGTGATTTTGAATTCATTGGAGGTATAAGTTGTAAAGGGGGTGTGGTCCTGTCTCGTACTTTTACCTCATTTTGAAGAAATTGTTTTTTATGTCACCGCCACAGTGTTGAGATCATATTTTCAGTCTAGGCATGTCTGCCCATTTATATATCCAACATTTTTCAGTGATGGTTCTTGTTATGAAGTTCTATATAACTGATTATTCTGGTCATTCTAGGTAAATTTTTAGGTGGCCATTTTGCTGGAAATAAGTATCACAGTGTGTTTTGTTTCAAAGGGTGTCTCATTTGAACAAGTCATACAGTTATTGAATCTAACAAATTCTGAGTAGATATAGAAATTATAAAATTGGTGCTTGAAGTTTATGACATCTACATACAGGACTTTGACATGTTTCAGTTCAAAGATAGCTTCTAAACAATTCAGCTATCAAGAGTTGAGAGCTTCCGAAATAAGATAAACAAACAAGAAAAGGATTTTCAATACTGTATTGATTCTCAAGCTTGGGAAATTGAAATATGAAAATCCAAGGATTTTTGATCAAGTAGACAAATTAGCTTTAAAGGATATCCTAAGTAACTAATATCTGATTTGACACAGTTTGACAAAAAATCTTGCATTTGATCATCATAAGACAATGTAATAATTAAACTTTATTAATATGCAAAATAGTCGAGCATGAAGGAGCTTTTAAAAGGAATATGGATATATTTTAGAAAAAAGCTGTAGAGAAGTGCAATTATGTCTCACCCAAATTATGTCAAGGAATATCATGATTTGATGAATTACATGCTAGGCGGGGAAACAGGTAGATGATGTCATTTAAGGCACTTAAAGTCTTAGGTTATGCGCTAATTTTTATATGTACATACAGTTATGTTAATTTATTGTCATAACAAATACGTTGTTTTGAGTATTTCTTCATTTCATTGCATTATTAGTACATTTTTTATTTATTTCACATTAAACAGTTTGAAATATCATTTTGAGTTTTGATATGAATGCCATCAGAGAATAAAGGGGGTGAAAATGAGTGTTGTCTTGCAAAGAATATAGGAGGAATAAGGATGACAGAGATATTTTCTAGACAGGCAATCTGGAAGAGGTGCATGAAGTATAGGGTGGGAGAGGTCAAGTGTTGTGAACAGTTATATAAAGAGGGTAGAAATGAGTCTGTCCTCTTGCAAAGGATAGGAAGAATGAGTATGACAGTGATATTTTCTAGACAGGCAATCTGGAAGAGGTGTATGAAGTATAGGGTGGGAGAGGTCAAGTGTTGTGAACAGGTTTATGAGACTATCTCTCAGCCCTTACTGAAAATATACCAGATATTTAATTCAATAGAACTTCAGTCAGAAAGCAAAAAGAGACTATAATAGATTGCTTGGAATTAAATGTTAATTATTTGTTGTATGTACTGAAGAAATCCTCAAGATGGGAAAAATTTTGGTCAAAACAACAAGCTAAAAAATTGCATTCTGTCTCTAGCTTGGAAACATTTTCTTATGTATCTGTTGATCACACTTATTTCATTGTTTTGCACTGTTTTTAGTAGCTATGTGAAAAATATAACAGAAAAGAAAACAATGTCAAGAATTGTTATATTATTTCTTGTGTAATTTATTATCACAATAATAAATAATACTTTAAGAACTTTGATTATTTTTGCAATTATTAAAGACATATGTTGGTGTGAGGATTTGGTACTATTTTATCTCTACTGTATTCAATACAAGTTTTCTCTAAACATTTAGTCTCGTGTTATACTGTTTCATGTCACAATGGGTCAGCAGTTTAGTTTACATATCTAAAATGATGACAGTCAAAATAATTCTGGGTGTGTGAATTATGTAATAAGAATTTTTATTCAGTGGTATTCGCAGCTTCATAGAGCTGCTCTTTTCTAGTTTACATAAATCGACATGTTACAACTTGTGTGTGTGAAATTAGTAACATTTCAACTTATGAAATGAAAATATGTCAATTTGTATGTATGAATGAAATAAGAACATGTTTTTACTGTGTGTATAAAATAAGTACGCTTTAACTTGTGTGTAAACCCATTCAGTTGGTTTCAGCTTAAGTGATCATTCAAATTCCTACTCTTTCCCTTGCTGTTACAGGTGGTGAGGGGGAAGAAGATGGGGCTAATGATGATGATGCCATACTGGCTGATTACGAGGACCCTCCCCACCCAGATGACTGCCTCACGCCTCTACAAAAACTGGAAAAGTATATGGACAGTGAAAATATATTTAGCAGGTAGGTGTTAATTTTTAAAGTTGATCCTCAGTCACGTTTGCTCTATGGCGGACATACGTTGGCCAATCTTCACAAAATCGATATAGAAAATCTATTCCTACTTCTTATCCCTATATTTTATGCTGCATATTTCTCTTGGCTTCTGGAAGCTACGGCTGCCGTACTGGGGACATTACTTGTGTAGTGTGGCAGATAGGGTCTTGCTAAATGAACTGTCCACGGTGTGGGGGGAATATCTCTCAATATTAATGTTTTAAAATGGAAGCACATATTTATGTAGAGATGTAACTGAGCTATACTCATGACCCTCTGAGTTTCATAATGCCTGTATTTAAAAAAGATATCCAGACACAACAAATGCTTATCTGCCATGCTTGCTTTGCATGAAGTCTCCAACAGTACCCAATGATTTGAAGACAAGATTTAGCGTAGAACCAAGGCTCTATAACAGCCTCTGTAGCTGCCTCTGCCCCTGCTATCTTCGCTCTGTAACAGTGGGAGAAATGAGGAAATTCTTGCTATATGATCAAGGAGAAAGTATTATAGTCTGCATTTGTGTATTTCGCCCTGTTGAGAATTTGAAAGTCACATGCCATGCTGTGAAAATATTTTGCAACCCTAGGCCCGTAATTAGGGGGAGGGGGGTCGGGGGAACCTGGTCAAAAATCCTTACAAAATGATGCAGTTTTTATTCCCCATTCTGAGCCCTTTTCATATGCTTTTGGTCAAATTTGAACTTCCTTGGAATTTTTAAAAAGTGAACCCCTTTGGCAAAAGCTGGCTGTTATAGAATGAATTATTGACAAAACTGGTGAAGTAAGGATTTATGCCATTTTAAGAAAACTTAGAGAGATTGATGCACATACCACTGATGAGGCAATTTTGATTTGAGGAATTAATCACTCTTAAACAGTTATATAACTGAATTACCTATTTTGACTACTCCCTCCTGTCATATATGTTGTTCTTTTGTCCAATTTGTCATTCCTCAATTATGTACTTAATTAATTAGTAAAAAATAAAAAAATAAAAAATACTTATTCAGAACACTTGTTCAAATTATATCAAACTCACAGGGTATCTTAAATGCTTTTAGTCAACTTTTGATTTATAAGGTAATATCATAACATATGCATGGTCCATAGTAGAATTCATTTACAGTAAAAGCTTTTGACTCATAATTTATTTGACATCTGATCTTGTACGATAGTATGGGGCTAATTACTGTAAAATATACCTGTTATTCCCTGTGCTTAACTACTCATAAAACATGACCTGATCGCAGTAAACACTTTCAAGGTCTGCTTCCTAAAAAGAGAACTTATTTACATATACCCTACTGTTTGTTTCTTAACCCTATCAGGCCAGTGCATTTGATTTGGAATGATTAAGATAGCAAAATTCTGAGTATTTGTCACTTGTTTTAGGCTTCATGTGAAGAAATACATTTGATCCTGAGAATTTTATTTCAAGCATCTTCATAAATATCTAAGTAGCTATAAAAAGTATTGTCAGTATCTCTGGGAAATTTTTTTCGTGAAAATATCAGTCATTTATTGAATTTGAGTGCTATTTTAGTGTTAAAATCACAAAGGAAGCCATGATCACATGCTAGTTGATATGTTTGAGAATTCTTTTACTGTCTAGACAGTTTATATTGCAACAGTGTTCTCCTGAAGGTGTCACATTGTCTATGATTTGAATATTGTGCAACAGCTCTCTCCTGGATGTCCATTAATGACCTTTCAACCCTTCCAGACACATCAGTTTCTCATTAATTCACATAACTATTTCCACCTCCAATCTGACCACTTGTTATTTCCCTACAGAGGTGACTGTCTCTTTAATTGCTTGAGTAACTCCAATCTGAGCTATTTTGTTTATCTCCTTTGAGAGGCTAGTGTTATCTGATGGGCTGAATTGGTCACAGTTGACCCAAGGCTCCCTTAAGAAATATTTCGATTTTCTTAAAAAAACTTAAACGATAGAAGAATGTTAAGTATAGTGCTGATATATAATAATAAAGAGTGCGTTTTCAAACTAAACAGAGTGCTCCTACCAAAATGAATTTGCCTACATACTCCTGAGACTCTTATCTGATAGATAGAATGCACAAATAAAACAAAAGTTTTGCTAATATAGGTAAAAAGTTCTCTTGAAATTTCGAAGTGATTTTACCTGTTAATTCTGTCCATGGTCCGCCATTTTTGCGGAAGTTACACTGAAACGCAAACTCCATGAAACGAAACGAAATCACTAGAAAAAACATGGCACACATTGTGCGCATGTGCAGCAAAGTTTTAACCAATCAGATTATTTGATTATTTCGCGCACATGAATTATTTGCTTCTGAGCACTTACAAACTTACCACAATAAACAAACCTGACAGAGACTACCCTTAGCCTACTTCATTTTGGCGAAATTTCAGCTCAAACTCGTGACAAATGCATTATGCATACGCTGGTGTGAAGCCTTGGAGACACTCATTTTGGTAAATATGATTTATGGTGTATACTTTTCTGCAGTTTGTGGGAGTTTGGGACATTAAATGTTTAAATTCAAGAAAATAGGCCAATTAAACGACTGATCAATTAATATCCACCAGCACTGTAATCGCATATCAAAGTAAAAATAATGCATATATTTGCTCAAAATAGTTCCAAGGTATTAATATTTTCATAGATTTAACGAGATAACGGCAAAAATTCTTGCTTGATTAGGAAATATTTTGTAAGGGTGTCTACCCAAGGGACGCTTCTATTCCATGGGAGTACAAACCAGTGATCTTCAACATGTGGTTTCAAAGATAGCCCATCTACATTCTTACACCATGATCCAGCATGGTCAGTTGCAACAGGATATCACACTGGTCAGAGATAAGAAGTCAGTTGAAGTAGGAAGTTTGAAGGACACTAACTGAAACTTCATCAATATTCGTGTGTTTCAATTTTATAAGGATATCATAGCAACTTTATCACAGAGAATACTGATTAATGATAATGGGGGCTTTGTATAGGAAATCATGCTTCATTGTCTCAGAGACTTGTACTAGAGAACTTTTGAACTATTCAGGACATTTTCAGACAATGACCATGTGGTAGGTTCTAGTCTAAAATAACACAGGACAATGCAAGTATTTGAGATGGTAATAGGATTTGTGTGGTTTTGGTTTATAAGTACACAATTCATCAATTCACTCGGTGGCGATGATGTTGACTAGAATTTGGTAACATTGCTTGCAGCATGTAGACGACTGTATCGTAAATGTCATTGTCTCTAGGAGGACACACATGTGAATAATGTCAGCATTTGTCAACCTAAATACAAACTACAATGTGTTGTAGTATAGAGACATCATGGAGTATGACATGAATAGGATTATGTGACAAAAGAATGGACGTAATACCGCATCATTTCTCTATAATAGATTGACATTTTCATTTAGTTTGAAATTATGAATATCGACATGTGAATGGACACAAGTTAAGAACAGTTTTGGAAGTTGCCAAACAAGAATTTAGGCTTACATGGGGCAGCAGTAAATGTGGTAACACAATAAATGTGGTAACCTACAGTAAATGTGGTAACACACAGTACATGTGGTAACATCTTTTAGGATGAGCTGGAATGTTCTTCAAGTAAGTACTTTAAAATAGAATTTGAGAAGTCTTATATTTACATCCATCTGGTGACCCATCTCACGAAAGGGAGAGTGTGTAGGGGCCATAGTCCCATCCCTACCATAGTATTACAATAAGATAGACAGCATATCAAGGAAGTGTATCGTTCATGTCTAAATTAATCATTAGCCTGCAAATCACAAATAACATCTTATATATGAAAAAGTGAATATGACATATGACAGCGTATCAAGGAAATCATTAGCCTACATTTTTCCTCTGTCGTTTAATGTTAAATATTTTTTTTTATTATATACCCAATATGTAACACTAATCCTGATTGGTCAATACCTAGTCACGTGTTCCGAAATAGATTTACTATTTCCCTCGGAAAGTTATATTCCCTCAAATGTGACGTCAGCGGGAATATACATTTGAACTATTGCCCGCTGACGTCACGATTGCAACTTCTATTACCCTTGGAAACGTCTGCGCATCATCACTGCGCAGACGAAAAACAGAAAAATGGAGGATGAGCACAAACACAAATCAACTCCGTTCACCATGACAGACGTGCGTGAACGATACAGTATAAGCAACGTGTATAAAGTTCCCTAAGCTCAATACGTCTGTGTAATAATCTATTCCGCGTGTTAAACGCGATTAAATTTTTCAAGTGAGAGTCTCAGAGGCAAAAATTTCTGTTGAGCATCTGATGACGTCACAGCTTATAATGCTAACAATGGACCCGGGAAGGGGGCTTTCTAAGCCTTTTTGGCCTTCGCAGAGGAAACGGGACAAGAGTCAGTATAGGGTATATAATAAAACAAATAGTGACTGCCTAATTTCGAGCAATAGTGTAAATGATTTCCCCTTGGGAATATCCTTTACAATGTACTATTCCCTCAGCCTGCGGCTTCGGGAATAGAACATTGTAGAGGATATTCCCTCGGGGAAATAATTTACACTATTGCCCTCAATGGCAGTCACTATTTGTATAATATATGATAGGTAATTTGAACTAATTTCATGTCCCATTTTTAGCTATGCAAGTAATAGAGAAAACGTGCATGTAGTAAAGTTTTCTCATTGTCATTTAGTTTGCAGTTTATAAATGAAATTTGGAAATTTCGCAACAAATTGTTATTTTATGCTCTGATTTCCCTTTGGAAAACTAACTATTGAAAGTTGTATAGGTCAGATATAAACATTATACATTATTGCTCCAAATTGAGCTCAACTTTTATATCCTTTAGACAGGAGTGAAACAGTATATTTGCAACCACTGTCCAATCACAAAAAGACATTCCTCGAATACTTAGATGTAATTCAGATAAATCAATATAAACCAGGATCCAGAGTTTGAAACATGATTAAGTAGCAATAGAGGTGAGAATGGTTCTATTTGGAGACCACTGTCATACCCCAATAAGACATATATCATAGGGACAAAGGGTTAGGCTTTGAACAACAAAAGGATCAGCTTTGTTTGGTATATCTCTTGGTTTTTGAGGTTTCCTCCATCGTTTCTCATGGTGTGGAAAAGAGGCACTTTCAGCAGTCAGGGAGTACTTGTGTGTTAGATATAAGGTCACGCAGTACAGTTTACGATAATATTAGGATAAAATTCCTTGGAGCTAAGTACCAATTTGGTGTTTTCATCAGATTGATAAATCATATGTTGCTAGTATATCTATTTATTATCATAGGCTGAAGTCTATCTTGGTATGTGTAACTACTTGTGTTATATTCATGGCATGAGTTAAGGTGGGCATAGTGACTTTTACATATTAAACCTTCAAGTTAATTAACCATATAACTCATTGTGCTTGGCCTACCTTAACTCTGGGTTTTCTCAATGCTTGATTAGTATGCTGTGAGTGTTGAAACTAGCATTTCCTGATAATATACATGTCGTAGATGATAAACATGTTACACCCCTCCTCCAATACAATTTATTCTCAGGGCTCTCACCAGGAAATATTTAGGGTGTGGTGCTAACATCTTCAGAATAACCATTCAATCTTGATAAATCATATTTATGTTATGTTTTATCCTTTTTACATGCTATTATTGTATATTCAGTCAAGTTTAGACTGTAGAAACAGTCATGATTTGCCACTAGCGTGTGGAGGGAGCTAAATAGAGTGTGGTGCTGCGCCACAGTCTAAAAGCCTGGCGATAGCCCTGATTCTAATACATGTTGAGGCTGTATATTTATAATGTTAGAAAAGCATCATCATGAGAAATCATGGGCTTCTATTAGCTTCACACTAGTATATTTCTGGTAGAAGACAGAAAGATATGATGAGTATCAGAATGGAGTAGCATATGGTGGGAGCATCTTCTGATGGATGTAGAGAAATTAGATATTATATATTTTCTAGACATATTCACCCACCCCCAAAATAATAATTCTGCTCGCTCATGCAGGTTGAGGCATTATTTTAGAATGGTGAGAAATAGGGCGATACTAAACTTCAAACAAGTTTTTATGTTTTTTCATTTGGTAATAATATAACTCTCATGGTGTACCTGATATCTGGAATGTTGTCCCACCACAATCTCCAAACTTTCTCATGACTCGGGGTAGTATGGATCAATTATTCAGAAGTACATTCAGTTCATGATACAACTCTATTAGTCATGATACAACTTTGTCCTATTTGCTTTAACCAAGTCAATTATCCAAAAACCATGTTGATCGATAGAATAGCAAAAATAAGTTGAATCATATAAGGTTCTTGTTTCCACCTCGTTTTGTCGCTATTTTTATTCAAAATAAACAAGAAAATTGTGAAAAACTAAATTTTAAATCATAGACTCTGTATTAACAAGATATAAATATGTGGATTCAGTATAATTTAGTTAAGTTTTCTAAAAGCTGTATTATTAAAAAGGGTTTTTCCCCATGCTGTTTTTCTTTCACAGGTACCTGTAATATAGCATGGTTGAATTCTTTGTTAAGAAGCATTGTGACAAAAAGCTTTGTAACAAGGGATTTTGTGTCTGTGTATCACCTTGAAAATCCATGAACAAAGCTTTTTTGTCAAAATGCTTTAACAAGCAATTAAACCTATTATGTAACTTTAACTATAATGTATCCCTAGCAATATTATCATGGACAACCAATTTGAGAAAGTGTAAATTACATATGTTCCCTAGAAGCAGGCTGGCCCCAAATTGGTTACTTTTATCCTCCTCAAGTTACACCCCTCCCCCTTCTATCCCTAGGCAGTGGTGAGGATGAATGTTGTTTATAAGACACAGTATACCTGAGGGTGACTTTGATATACTATATCCTAGTAAACAGTTGTAGTTCCTAAGTGGAAAAGGTAACAAGATCTCCCAAAACATGATAGTGAAACTCTTTCTCTATTACTCATTCATTACTTATCAATGCTTCCTGTATTAACACTGCATGGCAACATTGAACATTCATTAGAGCATCTTTCTGAGACCCTTTGCAAGAGCTTGGACTCAACCATTCTGATACTCTGATCATAACCTTCTGATTTCAAACTTACACTATCCTTTTTGAATGGAACTCAAGAATCTCAGGATTTACAGAAATGGGAGTTAAAAAATCACAAACAATTTTTAGCTATTGCATTTCCTGCCTATATGAAGCTATTGGGAGTAAGTCACCCCCCCCCCCCCCCTATTTATATTCCCATCCCTACAATATTCTAGAGATAAGAAAAGCATGTGAAAGTATTGATATTTTCTTAGTAATAGATCTATTAGTAATAGTATGAATTAATCAATTATAATTATGCCAAGTTAATTATAAGATGGATTCAAGGATGTGATTTGATTAAATGTCTCCTTTGTTCTTTGTGCTATCAGATATCTCATATATGCAGCCTATGTTAGAGTTAAAGTATCTTTAAAAGTGAGTGTACAACAGTGAAACATGTATTTCCAGACATGTACCTCTCTTATTGAAAGACCTCTCAATGTGAACACTTTTTCCAGACTCCAACATTAAACAACTTGAAATGTGAACACCTACTTATCTGAACACTTTTGGTCAATCCCAGTGGTATTCGGATCAGACAGGTTCTAATTTACTAGCTTTTAGGCTTCTGTATAGTATATGGCTTTATAATGGGGAAGGGGTATTATGTTAGAAGTCCCATTCAATATAATATGTTGCCCTTGGTTGATAATGGACATGTTCATTTAAGAAAGGAAATAGAAAATAAGTCCACATAAACATCTCGACTCACAAGTGTTCAGTCGCTCAATTTTAGAAGAAGAATATGTCATTCAAATTAATAGAGGTCAATTTGTCTCAAATGAACGTGATTCCTTAGGACACGTGCTAGACCTTATTGAGAATGTAAAATAGGAATTTCATTACAAGTATAAGGAATGAAAGTACAAGGCAAATTGTTAGAAGCTATAACTATGATTCTTACATGGAAACGGTTACTTTTCTTTGAATCACAGCTGAATTTGCTAAAGAAAAACTGGAGTAAATTGCCTATTGCCTGAAAATTGCATATTTTCTGAAAATTGCTTATTGTCTGAAAATTGCCTATTGCCTGAAGATTGCCTATTGTCTGAAAATTACCTACTGTCTGAATTTGCCCATCGTCTGAAAATTGCCTATCGCCTAAAATTGCCTAAAATTGCCTATCGCCTACTTCTACTAACACAACCCTAGTACAAGCAATATGACCACATACAAATTCTATGCAAGTGCCTGAGCTTGCATAAAGTTATAAGTGTAAATTAAGCTTCAACCTCTGCCTTTGGTATTCATATACATGTCTCTGCATGTGACTTATTCTGTATGTTTATCACAAACAACAAGAACTTACAATTTGAACAAAATCAGAAATAATTTGTTAAGTCCACTTTGATAGCTAGGACTATATGTTCTAGTGCATATAGTATCAGGCCCGTAGCCAGGGGGTTCGACGTATTCGAGCGACCCCCCCCCCCCCCCCCCTCCTGGCCAAAAAATCTTTCAAATCATGCAGTTTTTCACCATTCTGAGCACTTTTTAAGTGATTTTGGCCACTTTTGGACCAAAACTGTCACAAGTGAACCCCCCTGGAAATTTTCAAAAAGTGTACCCCCTCTTGGCAAATCCTGGCTACGGGCCTGAGTATGTACATTTTAATGTTATTCTCCATGGTATATATTACTTCCTTGAATTTGTAACCAGATATTATCAGAAGCATTAAATTGAACAATGAAATTCTAAACCCAGATATCAGTGTTGATGGCCCTAGTATATGGCACTTACCCAAGATATTTAACTCAGTTTCTATGTAAATGTACATTGTGTGTCCCCTTGTTATTCTATGTATTTTCGAGTGGTGATCAACTTCTTTTGAGGGGGAGAGGGGTGGTAGGACTAAATTACTGTGATATCTCCTCCCCCTAATAATGGTACTCTTAGCCATAATTGTTCTTGCTCAGGAGGAATTGAAAAAATGAGAATTTATTAATTTAGATAGTTAACAAAAAAAATCTGTTGAAAATGAAAAGAAATTGAGGCAGTATTGTTCTCAGAAGTTTGATTACTCATTATTCCTCATTTCTGTGTTTTAAAAGAGTAAAATCTAGACTTCTGATTAAGGACCAGTCTGATATCTATTATGTTATCACCACAAGTTGTGACATTTTTATAGTCTCCAACATTTTGTTGACGATGTTCGGCATCTGGCATACGGCATTCAAAGTTTGGCACCTGTATGTAACAAATGGCAGGTGGTGACATTTTAGCATGTTGATGCCTTGTTATAGATTTGCTATAACGAGAGAAGTTACGGAATAGCTGTATTCATTAGTATAATGGGGGACAAATGGTTTTTAAGAGTGTCCTAACTAATCATGTTTTATATGTACTTTCAGACAAATGGTTGCCAGGAGTATCCTGGACACACTGCGTGCCATGGGAGACAGTGTCGAGAACAGCAATTCTGTGCTTCAATGTATGGTCAAAATGTCCGAGGATCCAGGTATAGTTTCTGAGTTATTTTTATATCAGCTTTTCCTCTTTCACCTCCATTAATGTATTTCCCACTTTGACTTCCCCTTAATTTTTATGACACTTCCACAAGTGCTGACATTATTGCTATGGTCTCCAATTTTTTGTTGACAGTGTTCGGCAGTTGATGTCTGGCATTTGGTGATTGTGTATGTAAAAATTTCTTATCTTGTATTTCTGTGAAATTAATGGTTGTTACCATACTAACTTCTCTCATTCCACTTCATTACATGCCGTATATCAAAACTGATCAGGCAAGAATTGAAGTTAAAATACATCTTTGTTCATATTGATGTTATGAAATTATACTTCTAATGATGATGATATCTACTGCATAAGACGAAATAATTTTTCATTTCACCTTCGATCAGTTTATTGTTTTTACCACATACATGTACATACATATGAATAAAGACACAAGCCAGTATGGGATGGTGTCTATTTATAAAGTTATCGAATAATGATGTTAGTTTCATTAGGGGAGGGGGTAAATTATGGTTTGGTTAACGAATAGTGTTGATTTTTTTATATTCAAGTGAAAGACAAATCAACATTTTACATTGTATATGTGTATTGCATCAGGGAAAATATTATCATTTGGCAATGTTACAATAATTTCAATTTGGGAAGTTGGCCAAGAAGTCTGAAATCTGTCTAGGAACTTGTGTCATATGTAGTACTATTGATGTTATGACATATATTTATAGCATGAACCTACCATTAGAGCACCAATTACAACATGAATACAGTAAAACCTGTATGTTCAAACACCTCTCTAATTCAAACACCTCTCAATGTGAACACTTTCTTGGTCCCATTTTTTGTTACTGACTCGAGAATTAAGAAACCTTGAAATGTGAACACCTGCTTATTGACCCATCCCAGTAGCATTCTGATTATACAGGAGGCTGTTTCTTGAAAGTTTCCTTATTAATTAATCGTTTATTCGATTGTTAATAACGATTTTTCCGTTTCTCGAAAATTAACGATTCGCAATGACGTCATGATTTTTATCGATTTATGATTGTTGATTTTACGAGTAAGAATGGGGGTCTCATTTCATTACTGATGCGGTGTCCATAGAAACGAATCCACGATTCACCATTAAAGATTCATTAATAACGATAAGTTTCAAGAAACGGCCTCCAGGTTAAACTGTACAATATACGTAAATGTGTTAATAAACCCAAAACTTCAGTACTCTGTTAAATTAGCAACATATACTGTTGATTCACTTTTTCCACCACTCATTTTATGAAGATTGTTGAAAAATCAAATTTCAAAAATGCAATATCATAATTTATTTTCATAATCTGTCATTATTAAATTTTATTTATATATAATTTTACGTGAATTTTCTTTCAGAGCCAACTGTCCGGGTAGAGCTCATGGAACAGGTCCCTCATATTGCCATGTATTGCCACGACAACAAGCAGCTGTTCCAAGAATCGGCCATCCCCTCATACATTCTACCCCTCATTACAAAATACCTCACAGACGCTAACACTCAGGTTTGTACTCTTTGCGAGAGAGTGGCTATGTCCCACACTCTTATATTGCAAATGATTCTCTTCAATAAATATTCAGTCATCTCACAGAATCACACTCTGATATCATTCTGATACTCATCACATATTTTGTTTCACTCATTAATGCTTTGATTGAATGAAATAAGATTTTTGATCTGAGTTAATCTGATGGTAAGAGTTACAACTGTCAATAAGCCTGATTGTTATCATGTTATTAGTGCTATTAATGTATCTACATTACATAATATGTATTGTATTATATTGTCATTACCATTTGATATTAACACAAACATGGCTGATACAATCTCAATAGTTTTATGACCCCCTAATTACGTGTAATATAAACTGAGATGAAAGATCTCAAAAATTCTCATATTTGGGCTCTCTCAGATTGCCAAATGTAATTCATTATATCATGGTAACTCAGGACTGAATGAGATGCTATTGGGGTTCATCAGGATACTTACCCTGCACGCAGAGTCTAGTTATAAACTACCCTCTGCCTTGTATATAGACTATATTACAGTTTAGCAGCCGCGTCCCAAAGATTGATGCCTGTGACAGCCCGGGTAATAAATCATTTCAAATCTACCACGCTGACCCTTTCTCAATATGTGCCAAATACGTGCTCATTAACTATGCAGTGATGTCATAGGAAATGACCATATACAAAGTCTAACGAGCTCTGATTTGCTTGGTGAGATCAGAGATTTATTGTAAACTGAAAGAGTGAAGACAAAGTTCTCTTTTAAGAAGTGAAGTCAAATGAATGAAAAGGGTACAGGATGCTCTGATATATCTGTCTCTCTTAATCTTAAGCTTGTGTATTATAATGGGTAGTACAGGGTAGACTGGATCCTACAATGCAGAAATCAGTTTTCATACATTTTTGTTAGTTAATAAAAGCACTGTACTCTGATTGGTTGAAAATCCTATTTTGAATATCCTATCGTAATCAGAGGCGAGTGTTTTTGGCCCAAGAATTTAGGGTATTTGAGGTTGGTATGAAAACTTATACTGTATCAATACACCACAGAGAAAGGTAATGAACAAAACTACATGCTTGTTTTGTTTTGCTGTTGGCTGGGTAACATGTTAATGACATCACAAATTATGTTGAGGAATTTCGAATCAACATTGGCATGTAATATTTAGATAATTTGTTTGTTTAGTTGTTGATGGGGGCAATACATGAATGATGTCACAGTTGATGCTATCATATTCCAAGAATTCATTATCAACAATGTGTTTTGAAATAATCTTCAGCTCAGCCTCAAAAATAACCAAGAAAATGTAGCGAGGTCCTCATTTTCAGTTTCCAAATTGGCCATGTTTTACTTGGGCAGTGCATGAGACTGTAATGTAAGGTGAAATAACACCTCTAGATTCCTAGTCTTATTTTTCAAAAATATGGCAAACTCACTATGATGCCATGTGGTCTTCCAGCTTGTCTTACATGCTTAACTATTTATGAAATTCACATGTGAACTTGGGAGTAGGGGTGATGACATTGGCTCAAAATTTGATTGATAATTTTTTAAACATTTGTGTTCATTTGATTGATTTTAGTTTGATCCAAAAATTTCTAGGTACGGAAAACAAGCCAAGCTGCTTTACTGGTGCTTCTGGAACAAGAAATACTAAAAACTTGTAAGTAATTTTTCCAAAAAGTTGCTTAAATTAATAGCATTGTTCAGAACTGGGACTGAGATGTTAGGATATTATTTATTGCTGTACTATACTGTGTATGGCATCGATCAAACTGCTCCAACGTTATTGAAATGAAATTCATAGTAGCAAACCAATTATAATTTGACTGTGCTAAATGTTACTTTTTATCTGGATAAAAATATATCAATGAATTACACATGGTTTGAATCAAGTCTAACTGAATCCACTTTAAGCCTCACTCATTTTGAAAACATATTTGAAATATCTGTTTTTCCAATGTGTTTATATAGGTGATGTCGAAGAGCAGGTATGTCCAGTCATCTTACGACTCTCCGAGCAGGATAGCATGGACGACTACAGAACAGAGGCCGTTGCTGTAAGTATATCCCATAATTTCTATATAGAGCAGTAGGCTTACTAGAAGATTGGGCTCAGTATGAAAGACATTAAATATGATGTACCATATTCTCTCTATTGAGTGCACACAGTAAGGTTTCCGAATTCAAATTTAAAATGTTAAGATATTGAGAGATTCCAATAAGCACACATACCAAAAATGTAGGGAAAATATCTGGATAATTTTTGGACCTCATGAGAGAGAATACGGTAGTTCTGTACAAGAGACATAGATTCTTTTTAGAAGGCAATATAAGACGAGGATTTGGTGTTAAAGACATGGGTTCTGTAACAAATACATTGGTTCTGTGTCAGAGACAAGGGTATATGAAAGACATGGGTTCTGTGACCTGTGTCAAATACATGGGTTCTATGTGAGACATGGGTTCTGTGTGAAAGACATGGGTTCTGTGTGAAAGACATGGGTTCTGTGTGAGACATGGGTCCTGTGTGAAAGACATGGGTAGTGAGATGCTTATAATGACATCATCTTACTACCTTGTCTTTCCAGCAGTGCCCCATGAATGCAACAAATTCTACAATTTAAGGGAAAATAATGGAAAAATGCAGACAGCAAACATTTTCAGACATAGTCCAAGGTTCGTAGGGCTGTACATCACCATTTTGTCTTGTTATGTCAAGTCAACAATTGTGGCGGTTGAATCTATGAGACCTCTATTGCAGATAAAGCTTTTCCATTAGGGATTTTGTATGACAGTCTGGTTGGTTAGTTCATTGTTGCTTTTGTGAGCTCATGTGATGCCATGGTAACAGTCATCACATCAACTCTTGTGTCATAATGACCCTCTCTCCAGCCAATTTCCAGCCAACCCAAGGTCAATACTTGCTACATATTGTTACAAAACAAAAAGTACTCATTTGACCTTTATACTGCAGTCATAATGGAGACAACCTTTGCGGGGTCTTCCCTGCAGAAGGATGTAAAGTTGAACTGTTTTTTAGACAAATTGATAAAACACACCAGACACACTGTAGCATCAGAGATAGGACAGCATCTTTTCCATTCAATCGAGGTTGGGCCATGCAGCCGAATGTAAGCCATACAACCAAATTTGCCGATTCAATCTGACGGAGAATGCCGAGTCTCTCTTTTTCGACCAATCAATTAGAGACGTCCTCTTCACATTCATGGTACCCTCGGCCAACTTCGTTTGCAAAGAAAATCTTCAGCAGTCTCCGGCTTTTCTTGAGGTATCTTCTGTTGCAAGCCAAAAGTCGACACCTCATCAGAGATGTACACGTGACAATGAAGAATTAACGAATAGGTAATTACATCTATGGCTCAATGACATAATTGAAATACTTACTGATAAAGGAAATCAGGGATACACTGGTAGTAGTAGAGTGTGATCAGACTACGTAAAGCAAAAATTGAAGACTGGATATTAAATGAATTGTCATAGGAGACTGACTAGGTAAAGAGTAGTTCTGTCTACTACTGTCTATCTATATTATAGGAAAAAGTACAATTTGTTTTTATGTCATCACCAGAAGTGACATTGTTGTATAGTCTTCAACTTTTTTTTGTGGATAGCGGTTGGTGTTCAGCTGTTGATGTTCAGCATCTGTAACAAATGGTGGGTGGTGACATTTCATGTTAATCGCTTGTAATAATAATGTGGAATGGAGAAATGGTTTGTATGTTCACAATACTAGAATGAGTTTATAAAGCAATCATCGGTTCTGATTTGTACCTGAAACATGCAATGTTAAAATAAATTTGGTCATTTAATACATAGGCTCTGCTAGGTGAATTTTTGTATGGACAGTAAAATCTGACTTATATAAATGCCAATGAGTCTCTCTAAAACTCTTTTGATTAGCAGTTGTGCACAGGTTTTGTTAACATACGAGTCAATGGGAGGATGAAAGTATTAAACTGTCAAGGCTGTTTTCATTGAGAGGTGTTCGGATACACAAGTTTTACTGTAATTTCTTTCTGATACCTTTTCCAAAACATGCATCATATAATTCATATGTGTCTGTTGGATTTGAATTATGGCAATCAAAATTATTGCTGGACATATAGCATGACATGATTGCTTGGTTGCACAGTATTGCATGATTTCATATAACTTAGGAATTAAAGCCAGTGTTTTATTGTGTTACATAATATAAATTTAGTTATGTAGGCTGTAATATTGAGGTTTTTGCTAGGTGTTAATTGCCCAGAAATCGTTACATACACAACTAATGCCAATATTGTCAAAATTAGTGAGGAATGGTAAATGTGTGAATACTGAATAATTGCAATTGCAATTTTATTATTAAAGCAGACTGCTATTCCTTGGATGGAAATAGAGGAGACTATGTAAATGATAGGGGATGGAAATAGAGGAGACTATGTAAATGATAGGGGATGGAAATAGAGGATACTATGTAAATGATAGGGGATGGAAATAGAGGAGACTATGTAAATGATAGGGGATGGAAATAGAGGAGACTATGTAAATGATAGGGATGGAAATAGAGGAGACTATGTAAATGATAGGGGATGGAAATAGAGGAGACTATGTAAATGATAGGGGATGGAAATAGAGGAGACTATGTAAATGATAGGGGATGGAAATAGAGGAGACTATGTAAATGATAGGGGATGGAAATAGAGGAGACTATGTAAATGATAGGGGATGGAAATAGAGGAGACTATGTAAATGATAGGGATGGAAATAGAGGAGACTATGTAAATGATAGGGGATGGAAATAGAGGAGACTATGTAAATGATAGGGGATGGAATTGAGAGCTGAGGGACTTCTCCTTTAGGAGAAAATGGGATATAGTTGATATGGCACTTAAACTGTGGCATCACATGACATTGCCTAAAATCAACAGAACAACCAACTGCTCATGGCTATAGCACTGAAGGTTTAGAATTATTTAAGGTGGAAAACAAAGACAACACCATGAAACCAAGCTACTATATGTGAACCTAATTGTCTAAATTATAAAGACATCTTAAAAATAAGATTAACATCTGGACTAGTTAGGCTTTGATAAAATGGTCGTTTTTATATGGAATTGTATTAAAATGGAATCTGTAGATTAGACAGTTCATACCAAGGTGGCCATACACATGTAAAACATGGTCACATGCTTAGTTGCTTTATGCCCACCTCAGGCATTTAATGCTAAAATGATGTAATTGACACTTTGGGTAAATCCTTGTGAATATGTAGACTGATAAAATGACAACTTTCTGAGTTTATTAAATTGAGAATGGGGCATTGAACATTGAACAAGGCATGATATATCAATAGGTATGCATGTATACATCAATATTGCCAACATCAAAATGAAATTCCAGTTGGCCAGATAAGGGTATGTAAATTTGAAATTAGGTGTCAAGAACATAATGAGGTCTCCAGTTTGCCATTATACAGTGTGAACCCTTTGACCTGTGTACTAGTATAGGTTACAACATACTCTCAAATAAAATCTCACTCATCATATTCATTTTTAACTGTTTCTCTTCACAATTTAGATATAAAGTTATATACGTTTTTAGATGTTTATGTAATTTAGACTATGGGTTCACATTTAGTACATCAGTTTCTTGGTATTTCCTCTGTTTTCCATCCAAAATTGGATTTTGAAACGTGACTTATGTGATATTTTGTATGTGGGTGCTATTTGTTAAGAGTTGTGATATTCATTTAGTAGTCAGCTTATAGGTGTCAATTCTTGGTATAGGTGTCAAGGATCAAACAGGTATGCAAGTCATAGATTGGATCATGGAAAGTAGTGGCTACTTATCTGTTGCATCACATGTTGCATGTGTTGCATCTTATCAAAACCAGCCAAGTGGAGAGAAAACTACTTGTATATACTATATGGGCCCATTGTACAAAAGGACTTGTGGGAAATTCATGGATTACATGACCATGCTTTCATATGCAAATCCAGTGGAATAGGAGAATGTAGGAAGAATGTGGAAGGAACCAGGTCATGTGTAATCAGGTAATAATCATATTCTTATATTGTATACCAAAGTGGGGTTGATATTCAAATCAGTGCATTGAAGTAGCCCTAATGGGACATTATAAAATAGCTTTTGTTGTATAGAATTTACAGCTACACTGATTCGAATCATGAATGCATAATGATATGAATGATGCAGTCCTTGCATTAGTCCTTACATGAGTACTAGACAGGTTCCAATTCTAATAATTCAAGTTTTTGAGGCATTTTTTAGAAAAAGCAACAGACCTATTTTTACTCGATCAGTTTTTCATGCTGATAAAGATATTAAAAGATGACAGCTCAACGGGGTGGTCACGACACTGAATTTTGGCATGTTTACCCCCCTAGGAAAATATTCTAGGGGGTACTATGAAACTAGTTCATAACTCAAAGGATATATGAGCTATTGTTCTGAGTTGTACACCATACATTGCTAGTACAAATATGAATACTATCCTAAAGTTATAGGTTGATACCCTTATTGGTCTCAGAAAAAATACAATAAACAGGAAAAAGATACGCAATTTTTGTCTTGCCAATTTTATATTTGTAGCTTCAAGCAAAATATGACAGCTTTAACAGCTCATAGTAGTATTCTAAAATCATTTCCAAGCTATATGGGGTATTGTAATACATCTATTTTAGTTATGAAGTACTATTTTGTAATTTTAATATGACTTTATAGTCCCCTACCCCTGGACAATTGAAGAAAATGGATGTGGTGAATTTAATCATTTTGCAGCATTAAGTTAGAAACATGTATTGATAGACACCAAATCAATAAATCTATACCATCATCAAATGTTAGGTGACATTCTAATTCATTTATTATTAGAATATAGGACTTAAGATATTTTATATGTAAGTTTTCAATTTAGTACATGTATCATAATGAAATCTAGTGTAATCACATACTAGAGAGGACATTGACATAAAGTCTAAACATTATAATCATCAATTGATCTCATTTGAGCAACTAGACTATGGTGGTCACCATG